TTCAGATTATTCTTGATATTTGAATCACTTTTTAATATTTAATATTAATTATAAATATATTAATTTATTAATTCAATTAATTGTTTGTTTGCTGCAAATTGTATCTATTTATATAATATTATATTTAACATAAGAATAAAGGGAAAAGTAAAACTTTTATCAGTAATAACAGATGTATATGACTAATTGTTTTGATAAATAATCTTATGATAGTATTGTGATTACTATGATGTTAATTACTGATGTTGAATAAGACAGGTACTTTTGGTCTATCATTGTCTAGAAACATAACATATGTCTAAAATCTCGTTTAAATATAGAATTAAAAATAATAATTACAAACAATTTCTGTAATAATTAAATGTTTACACAATATTTATAAATTTTATGTATGTAAATCTACTTCATTATCAATATAAGAAATTCTTTTAAACCAATAATTGCATTAATTCTAAGTGAATATAAAAGTATATAAAGAGAAACAATTTTATAAGAAATATAATAGAATATAATTTTAATAAATATTATTTTTTAATTTATTTCTGGAGGAATATATTTGTAAAATTACAAAATGGTAAAAATACTGATAGCATTGGTGTCTGCCTTAGCCCTGGTCACAGCCAAACCTACCGATGATTTGGAGACAATCGCTAATAATTTTATTTCAAAGTAATACCAACTTTTATAATACTGTACTGTATTAATATTTTTTAATATTCTTAATATTTTAACTTTTTGACAGAATTCCGGTACATTTTGGTGGAAAGGCTGACCACAACTCCATTAGTGATAATCTACTGAAGAGACCGTCCAATGGAGTGAATGACCAGAATTGGGAATTCCTTTCTCTAGGAATCGGAGGTTTTGGAGGACTGAAAGTGTCGGTTACGAGAGGGGACAGTCAGGTGAACGTCAGTACTATTTATGGTTTGAGCGCCGGATCTCTGACTGTCGCTGAAAGTGAGACACAAAATGGCAAACAAATCAAAGACATTACACAACCATTAGTTGACAAATGTATGAAAACTATTGTTTATTTAACTTATTATAAGATTTATTATAATTATATTATTCATTGAAATAGACGTCAAACCTATTGAGGAGAAAGATGGCGGTGACGGCACTCTAGTAGTGGTGGCCGGAGAGGAAAGGGATGGCACTCTTGTGGTTCATAG